CTAAGCATCTTTTCATTAATTTATTGGCCACATGTGTCTTGGAGAAATGTCTATTCAAATCTTTTGCTCCTTTCAATATTATCTGTTTTTATTGTTGAATTGTAAGGGTTCTTTATATATTCTGGATGGTAAATCCTTATCAGATAGGACTTGCAAATAATCCCTCCCATTGTTTGGACCTTTTACTGTCTTGGTTTGGTCCTTTAAAGCACAAGTGTTTTAAATTTTGATGGCATCCGATTATCTAGTTTATCCTTTTTGTTGCACTTCAGGTGGGTATCTGTGAACACATCTTAGAAATCTGAACATGTCTTTTATGACCCATCCTTAGAAATCACACATCATTTCATATTCTGGTGGCCACATGGACCAAACCTGATATAATGCAGGGGCGGGGCGGGGTGGGGGGCGCACACAGAACACAAATACCAGGAGGGAAGGGTCACTGGAGGCCGCTTTGAAATGATCGGCTCGGTTAGCTTAGTACTTCCTGTGCATCTGATTGCGGTTTGCTGCCATCTCCCTTGAACTGAAGAATCTTTTACTAATTCTTGTCGTGTCAGCCTGCTGCTGCTGAGGCCTCTGTCATTGTTGATGTGAAAGTGTGACTATTTCAGAAGGTGTAGAATCGGGGCTGACATGTTTCACTTCCATACCCTTAAAGGGCCCATGGTTTCTGATGAGGACTCTGCAGGAATTTATAGGACCGTATCGCTCATTGTTCCCCTCTGCAATAGTTTTTATTTTGTTGCTCTCAAAAAGGTTTATTCACTTGTCTTAAGCTTCTGGAAGTTTGACTTTGAAGCCCTGGGTATGTGGTATTTTTTAAATTCTGCTTGGGTTTTGCTGTACTTCTCGAACCTTTTCCAAATTTGGCTATTTTTTTTTTTAAAAGATTTATTTTGATTTACTTACCCCAGAAGAACTGGGGTGCAGGCCAGAGGTGGGGGGGTGAGAGGATTCACCAGCGATAGAGTGGGGAGCAGAACAGGCAGATCCACTGAAATACACTGCTGAGGGGAGCAGCGGGGAGACTTGGCCGCAGTAGCTGGCAGTAGCTTGACAGTGCTGAGACTTTAACCCCTGCGCCACCAGGGAGGACTGGCCTGTTGTTTTAATAGCAGCAGCAGGGGGTTCACTTCAATTCTGAGACCTGGGGGCTTTCCTCCAAGGGAGTCTACTTGTTGGGTCCTGGGTCCTCAGTCTGCTGGTTTGTGCAGGGTGTGACCCTCTCTCTGAGTGTGGCCCAGGTTGCTGCAGCGTCACTGGGCGTCTCCTGCGTGCCCCTCTGGTCAGCACCGGGTCCAGGCAGCCAGGACTCTGTCCTGCCTCCTAGTAGGGTGGGTGGTTCCCTACACTCCACAGGTTGCTGTTTGCAAAGTCATTCCCTCTTCACAGAAACTTCCCCGCCTCTGTGCAAGGCAAAGGCAAAGCCTGGCTCTGATTATGCTGTGGGAGACTCAGCACTGAGTTTAGGCTCTGGAAGCAGGAAGACCTGGGGCAAATAAGCTGACCTTGAAACTCAGCCCCCTGGCCTGAGTGTCTGAACTGTGAGGTTTTGTTAAAAATCTGAATATGCGTAGAGAAGGCCAGGACAGACTCTTGCTGCGGGTCTTATTTGCCGTAGGCAGTGATGCATTTACAGTGTTCTGGAACTCGAGAACGTCTTGGAGCATCACGGGCTGTGGAATGTGTTTTCTGCAGAGGCGGCCTGCGCCATCCGTAGTGGGAAGGAAGTGCAGTGGTCGGGGTCAGCAGGCGGCGCTCCCAGGGGCTCTGCGCGCTCCTCCGTGAAAGGCCCAAGGTAGCAGCCGCCGCCCCCAGGAGCTGAGCCGGGTGGCCGAGCATCCCGAGCATCCGGAGCGGCTGCTCCCGCTCTTGATCTGAGCCCGTCCCAGCTCCCTGGCTCCTGGGTGTGGACTTGCTCCCGCTTCCCTTGCTAGGCCTGGCGGTCGTCCCCCCCGCCGCGCTGTCCAGAGAAGCGCTGGGGCGCCGAGGACAGAGGCCGGGCTTCCAGGCTAACCAGGGCGTTCACTCCTCCGCTCAGCTGGGATTAGGCCCCACCAGCCCATGAGTCTAGCTACCTCGGGGCCTCTCCCCGCGCGGGGACCCCTCGGCCTGCAGGCTGCGGTGACGCGGCCGTCTCTGCTGAATCCTCGGGGGGGGGGGGCGGGTGTGGGGGGGTTTGAAAGCCTGGACGAGGACGCAGGCGCCCCTCACCCCTCAGAACTGGCAAGAGGCCGTCTTCATGCTTGGGATAAGGCCCCTCCATCCGCACCCCGCGAGGAAAGGGCGGCTCTGAGGGGCTCCCCCGCCCTCGGGCGGCGCAGCCTGCGGGGCTCAGGGCGGAGGCGCCTCACGCAGCACAGGCGGGAGCCGGGGTCTCCCTCCCTGCGGGGTCGCGCTGCGTCTCCCCATCTCTCCGCTTGCGAGTCCCGGTTCCAGCGTGCGCTGTTCTCTAAAGCGGCTCCGCTCGTCCCCGCCGCGTCTTCAGCCGCGACGGCCGGTGGCGCCGGCGAGGGCCGGGCGGGCGCGCGCTCCGCGGCGTCGGCGGGGGAGGCCTCGAGGGCTGGGGAGCCCGACGGCGCGGGGGCGGGTAGGGGGGTGACCCTGGGGGAGGCGCGCGGCTCCCTCCGGCCGGCACTGCCGCGCCCCTGCAGGGCCCAGGGCGCCCCTGCGGACCCCGCGCTGCGGCCACTAGCGGGTCTTGAACCTTCTGAAATGGGGGTTCCGCGGAAGCCTGCGCGGGGGCGCCGCTGCACACCTGGGGCAAACCCCAACCGTCGAGTCACCCCACCGTGACCCGTGAGAGGAAATCTGCTTCCCCTGAGGGAAGGGCTCCACCGCAAAGCCTGGGCGCCAGTGTGTGTGCCTGCGACACCCCAAAAATCTAGGCAAGCAGAGCAAACTCGCACTAGAAGGCTGAGGGGCAACCTGCGCGGAGCGGGCCTTTGGCGGCGGACGCGCACTCGGGGGGGCCCCCAGCGCCGCCCCGTCCTCCGCGCGGGGTGCCAGCTCGGGTGCCGGCTGGGGGGCCGCAGCCCACGCCAGGCAGTGCCCCCAGCGCCAGCCTCGAGCCTGGTTCCTTGCCCGACGGGCTCCATCCCGCCGTCCTTGGCTCCGAGAAGCCCCGGACAGGGTCAGGCTACCCGAGGGCCGCGCGGGCTGCTTTTCCAGGCGCTGCTGGGCCGGGCCGGGCCTCGGAACCGCAGCAGCCGAGGCGCCAGAACCGCAGCGCAGGGAGCCCTGAACAGCGCCGGGTCTGCGGGATGAGAGCCGGAGCCCGGGCCGCAGGTTCAAGTCCCCGCCACCCGCCGCGCTCAGGAGACGAGCCTGCGGGGGCGGCTGAGGGACACCCCCGCCTCTGCCGGCGCCCCGGGCGCGGGTCACGTGCCGGCCACGCCTGCCGCCTGGGGGGGGCCTGGGGGGGTGTCACCCCAGCCCTGGCCGGCCCGCGGCCTGCCCTCCCCTGGCGTGCCCGGGGCCCCCACGGGCCGCGGGCGCAGGCCTCCCGGGCGGGGGCGGGGCGGGCGTGCAGGGAGAAGCGCGGCCTGGGCGGGGCTGCGCGTGGGCGCCGAGGCTCCCGGCCCGAGCGCGGGGTGCAGCCCGGTGCGAGCTCTGCAGGCGGCGCGGGAATGAGAGACTTTTCTGGTAACAAAACCTCTCACCTGGCTCGTCCCTGCCGGAGGGGGACGAGCCGCGCGAGGGCGGGCGGTGTGAGGAGCTGCTGCCTCGAGCGAGCCTGTGGGGCGTCGCCAGAGAATCGTGATTCGGCGACCGCGGGCCGCACGCACCGCACCGGGAGGCCGGAGGGCGGGTCGCGGCCCAGGCCCCGCTCCCCGGCCCTGACGCGGCGGGGGAAGCTCGCGAGAGGCGCTGGGCAGACGCAGGCTGCTTCCAGCACTTCATTGTTGGCCACGCGGAGCTCCCTGCCCCACCTCAGGGCCCTTGTTCCATGCGGCAGCAACTTACCCGGTTAACCAAGGACGGAGCAGGCAGCGTCTCCCCTTCCCAGCCTCCCAGTTTTGGTGTGAGCGACTCACTCAGACCAGGCTTGGCTGTGAGGAGGAGCGCGCTGGGCTCTGGACCAGGTTTGCTGCCAAAGCTTCATTAGCTCAACTTGGAAAGGAAAAAGCCACTGTGAGTAAGAGTCACCCCTCAGCTGCTGCCCAGCGGTGGGGGAAAGACTCAGCCCAGTGAGAAGGGGGAGGGTGCACGCGGGAACGCTGTGCACACCGAGAAGGTGACTTAATGGCTACAGGAAGCCCAGACCCAGAGCCTGTGAGGAACCAGAAGACACCATTCGTCTGTCGGGCAGCAAGGAGGGGAAGGGGGGAAGACTCAGGGCTTCTAAAGCATGGACCTGAATGCCCCTTCACCCCACTTTCAGAGCTGAGTCTAGTTTGGTGGTGCAGGTCAAAATGAAAGGAGGGCCTTCCTGGGGGCACAGCAGGTTGAGCACAGCGCAGTGAAGCTGTCCGCAGCCTCTGCAGTGTGGGTTCGATCCCCGGCTGGCCAGGGAGATCCCACATGGCACAGCAGACCTCTCCCGTCTCGCCCGCTGCTCCCCTCAGCAGTGTATTACGTCAGTCTGCCTGTTCTGTTCCCCGCTCTGTCTATGGTGAATCCTCTCACCCTCTCGCGCCTCTGGCCTGTACCCTGGTTCTTATATGAAAATAATCTTCAGGGCCTCCCCAGTGGTGCAGCAGTTGAGCGCTGGGTTGCGAAGCTGCCCGCAGCCTCTGCAGGGGCCGGTTTGATCCCCAGCTGCCAGCGAGGGTCCCACATGGCGCGCAGACCTCTCCTGCCGCCCGCTGCTCCCCTCAGCAGTGTACTTCGGTCCTTCTGCCTGCTCTGCTCCCCGCTCTGGCTCTGGTGAATTGTCTCACCCTCTGCGCTTCTGACTGTACCCAGTGCTTGTATAAATAATCTAAAAAAAAAATCTTTAAAAAAATAAAAAATAAATCTTAAAAAAGGAACATTTCAATCCCTCTGCTCAGGTCTTGAGGGCTCTGAAGACTGGCACCTGCCATCCCAAGCACCTCCAGAGGACTGGGCCTTCCTCTACCTGTGCTGGAGATGCCATTCCTTCTGTCTGGACCAGCCTCCAGGTACTGCTGCCACCACTACTGCACCTGCTCTCAAGCGGAGTCGTGCTGGAAGACAGCCCAGCTCATCGTTCCTGATTAGCCCACCTTCAAGGCCTAACAAAGGTAGAGCTGATAAACAGCGAGTGTGTGAGTATATTTTGGTCTCCCCAAATCCAGGTGCATTCTGTTGCTTGACATCTGGAACTGACCTAGATCCACAGGTGACCCCTTCTGGGGACAGACAGGGCCTTCCCATTAGTCTTCTGGAACAGGCAGAGCAGGTAGTTTTTGGGAGCTCTAGACCAGCAATCAAAAGTGAAGATGAGGTGACAAAGGCTAGAAAGGAGTCATTTATTAAAAAAAAAAAAAAAATGAAACAACAAAACCAAAACTGCCCTCTGCAGGATTTGAAGCTACCACAGAAACCTCGCACCATCCCAGCGGAGTCACACGTCCCGGACACGGCCGGGAGCACCGCCGTGAGCTCTGTCCTCTGTGACTTCAGCCACAGGAGCCACCGCTCGGCAGCTCAGGACACGGGTCACCTGCTCAGGGAGGCACCGGGCCCCTGGGCCCTTCTCCAACCTCCGCCGTCAGGCCTCCGGGCCCACTCCAGGCGCACTGCCTTTTAGGCTGTTTCTTATAGGCCGCGACGCTGCACAAAGGCAAGTGTATGTTCTCGCGCCGGTGCCTCTCCTACAAGGGCCTCAGCAGCTTGGGCCCGCCTCGGGGGCAGCGACGTTTGTCCCCAATACCCAGTTGTCACCACAGGTAAGTCAAGATTATAATCACACCAGGGACAGGATTGTGTTGCTTTCCTTTTTTTTTTTTCTTAAAGGAGTGAGGGCATGGAAAATACAGCACACCAAAGAATAAAATGAAAAAAAAAAAATACAAAAAAATAGAAAATAGAAAAATGTATTTACAAGTGGTACATTACTATGATCAAAAGCACAAAGACATTGCTGCTGTCACACATGCACTGATTCAGGGGAAACCACTAACCTTGCTGGGAGAAGCTGTAAGAACAAAAAAAGGGCCAAAAAGTTCCAACTTTTCATCCCTAATTTGCTACATGGAATAAAACCAAAGGCGAGCCCTAGGTCCGTGAGTACAGTGTGCAGATACTACACGGGGTGCATCTGCACGGTCAGTGGCGGGGGAGAGGCGGCAGCTTGTCGTACACAGGAAGCCACGGTGAGCTGCTCCACATGCTAAGTCACAGCGAGCCCGGCTGCCGCGCGGCATGGTCTCAGCAGGTCCTAGTTCTGTTTACCAGACAGACCGATGTGCGTGTGTGCGTGTGTATAAAAACCGTGCCCTCGTTCACTGCCAACACAACGCCCGGCTGGACGTGAACGCATTACAAGTTCTCAGGTGTGCGTTGTAAGAAGTCACTCAATGTCTGTGGATTTAATAAGTCACTTCACACCACAGAAAATATTTAATAAATCCAAAAAAAAAAAGGAAAGATTATAACGACAGAAGAGCTTCTGTCTCAGTTCTCTGAAAGGAAAATTTGGTCCCACAGTTCTCGAGGGTTCACTGAGGACTTGCTTGCAAATGTTTTTTTTTCCTTTTCATCTTTTTAGTGTTCAAAAGTAGAGAATGACTCCTTGCCGTTGTCATTTTTAAGTCCATCTCCATCCCCCACAGGTACCAGTCTGGTGCAGTTCCACACACACGGGGGAAGGAGCAGCGCTGGGCAGGGCCTGCCACTTCAGGAGGCCCCACCTCTACAACGGCAGGAAGAGAAGGAAGCGAGCTGGCTCAGGGCCCCAGCACCTCCCTCCTGCACGCAAGCTCCCTGCAAATGCAAAATCCAGTCACACGTCAGTTCCTTAGACAGGTACGTCTCCGTACCAGGCCAGCTCTAAGAGGAAATAAAACCACGCGTCGACAGACAAGGACTATGATGGCCGCTCTGGTCACGCTTGGGATCCATCATACTTCCAGGAAGCGGGAGCTGCTGGACTTGGAGTGGAATGGCTCAGACCACATCCGCCGTAAATCACCCTGGGAAAGAAGGAACTTGCTAAGTTACAGGCTAACGCACGAGTCCCGTGGATCTACAGGTCCTGATTCTGCGTCTCAGACCAGATTGCCTCTGTGGAGAATCAAAAGACTACTCCAACCGTACTACAAGGTAAGTTCTAGTGTTCTGTGAAGAACTCACAGGAAGGGCTCTTAGGCCCCTTGAGCAGGAAAGGGCTTTTCCCCAGCTTGGTCTGGGGTTAAGTTCCATCATCGTGAGTCAGATGATCTAGGTGAGTTCTTTAATGCTAGCATCTGTTTCCTCATCTGACAAGGGGGGAGGATAATGCCTCTAAGTCGTTTTTATCATATTGCCTCAATATGATTAAATACTAATCTTCAAAATTTAATGCAAAGTACTAAGAGATCTGTTAGATAGCAGTGGTGTTGCCCTTAAGAGGAACAGGAACGATCTGCAGCTGGGCTCATGGAAGTTTGGTTCGTTGACCCAGGGCAGATGTGGACTGAGCTAACGCATTAGCATTTTCTGCCAGTGGCTGCAAGATCTGGAAGAGACTGCTAATGTCAGATTAGCTGCTGTCACGATCAAGAGCTCAAGGGCTTAAGCAGAACCACCTCCAGCAAGGTCACACACCCAGTGCAGGTCAATGCCAGGGGTACAACTCGCATCTCTCACCTTTAAGTAGGCCATTGTGAGGAGTGGCAATAAGGTAAATGGCACCAAATAAAGAAGGGCGGGCTGGGCTGCTCGGTGAATGCGAGACGCCACAGTAGCAGTGAGCAGACCTGTGAGGACAGAGAAACAGTCACGAGTAAGTAAGGTCAGTCCTGAGCGAGCAACCTCTCACCTGGCCTCTTCTCGGCAGTCCATCTCCATCCCCCACAGGTACCAGTCTGGTGCAGTTAAGACCGTGGGGAGTGAGTGTGAGCTATTCCGGCCAGTCACAGGGAAATGTCCGGCTGAGTTAAAGGAAACTGGAACGACGCAGCTTTACAAGACCTGGGTTTCCAAGGACCAGGCTCCTGCTGCCGCTCTGCTGCTCTCCCAGTCTCTGTGTGTGTGATGCCAGGTTTGGATGCCGAAGACCCGGTTCCGGTTCCAACTCTGCTGCTTCCAGCAGCTGCCCTGACTTGGGCAAGGCATCCGGCCTCTGCCCCCTCCCCGTGAGTGGGGGTGATGCCACTTGCCCTGTCCCTGTCAGGGGCTTTGCACTGAAATAAACCCACACACGGCCATCCCCTCTTAACTGTAGGGGACACGATCCAAGGCCCCCAGCGAATGCCTGGAACTGTGGACGGTACGCCAAGCCCATTTGCACTAGGGCTTCCCGCCTTACAGGCGTACACACGACACTATGACTTACAAAGTCAGCCACAGCAAGAGATTAACAATAATAAATTTCATCACGCAGCATACTGTTGTGTGAACACGGCCTCTCACGTTAACTTCTGGTGTAGTATTTTTGGACTGGATGGGGGACACGGTCTAGGAAGGTGCTGTTACCAGCGGCCCGCGGATGTGGAGGAGCGGAAGAGGCGCTCCTGGCCACTCAGCCCGCTGCCGTGTGCCCTGTACAGAAGGGAGCCCGCCCAGCCCCAGCAGTCTCCTCCTGTCTGCCTGTGAGTGGGCCAGAGAAAAACTAGCTGAGGAAGCGTCTGAGGTGACAGGAATGTTAGACTAAATGAAGGAAACTGTCTAACGAAGGTCACGCTCAATTCCTACTTTAACTCCAGCTGCAGACTGAACGCTCAGGCTGATGCACCCGACCCCCGGGTGCCGGGTGTTCTCGGCTCTCCCCGCGGTGGTCCTGTCGGCCGGGCGCTGGGCTGGCCGGTACAGAAAGCACCCGTCACCGTGTGGGTGGTTCCTTTGTTGTTCCTTTGGGCTGTGTGCACCAGCGACCAGAGGCACTACTCTCCTTCATGCAGCCTCTGCAGCTCCGGGACCTGACTGAATCCCAGAGGGCAGAGGGGGATCTCATGGTGCTTCCCTGGTGTTCTCTTACCTACGAAATAACCAATGAGGGTGCAGTGAAAGTAGGAGACCTTCTGCATTCGTCCGGAGATGTTGGCGGGCCCAGAGGCGCTGCAGGAGTCACTGCTGGCTTGTTTCTTGTAGTTGTCGTAACGAAGGACGAAGCAGAGCAGGAGTCCGGGCATCACGATGTCCCCAATGCCCAACATGGAGAAGTGGCTGCCGGTGGAGCTGGAATGCAGGGTCACACGTCAGCGCCCCACATTCTAGTCTCCTCCCATGCAAATTCTGTCAGCCTTTTATGAAGTCAGAGCACTTATCTGAATGATAGGTGGAAGCCACTAGGGTTTTAAATCTAGATATTAGAAGCCAGGCGTGTGCCGGCAACTGTCTTCAGCCAGGCCCTCGGGGCTCAGGAGAGCAGCCTGTGAAGCGCTGGCTCCTTGAGAGATGCCCGGCAGCTCACTACCTGCCCACTGTCAGAGCCGAGATCTCACACGCGCACCTGACTACCACCAGACACGGGAGGTTTTAATACAGTAGCAGCAAGTGGTGATGTGAAAACATTAATGATCAAAAGCAGCACCCCTGTCACTGAGTGATGCACCTTAGCAAGTCAATATTCTCTTTCTCATCTGTAAGGTGGACATGACTCACAACCCTTTTTCAGACTGACCCAAGGACAGGCACAGGAAGGCGATCTGTCCCCCATCACAAGGGGAGGCCGGCCTACCTCGGGAAGACCAGTTTTCCAGGCAGAGACAGGCGGGGAACGTCGCGCCCAACGCTGGGTCCCAGGTGGAGCTTCCGGGATAGAACGTCAAGGGGATTGTCAGCTGGCTGCGTGGCCACCTTCACCATGACGTTGCTATTGAAGATGTAGGCAGAGAAAAACACCTGCAAAGTGGAGGGACACAATTTAATAGGGCACTGCAGGCACCCCTGCTTTCAGCACCAGCCTGCTTAGTTCTTATCAAGAGCAGAGTCTCGGAATATGGCAACACCAAGCTTTTTAACCTGCATGCTTTGAGGAGAAAGGAAGCTTTGCTCCTCACGGTACGTGCAGGCTTCTTCTCCCACATCAGAGAGGAATCCCTTCTAGCATATTTGGGAGTGCTCCCAAGGCAGCGAACCTTGTCTGCCTGCTCCCCTTCCGCTCTGAGAGTCACAAGCACACTAACTATTGTGACACATCTCAGCAAACAAAGGCTGGGACAGCTGCCTGCTCACCTTTGACACGCACAGGTCAGGAACAGGGAGTGGTCTTAGACAGGAGGTGCTCTGGTCAGTCAGACTTTGGACACTCAAAAATTAACAATTTTCAGGCATGAACACTTCAATTAAACAAAGGACAGCAGCAGTTTCAGGAAACAGACACTCACCCAAAAGACATCATAGATGAGAAGCCCTGAGAGAAGCAGGCAGGAGACCTTGAGGCTGGGCAGGCGGACGAAGGCGATCATGGCAACACACAGACCCATGGCCAGTGCTGGGGGTGGACACCAGACAGCAAGTTACTCAGGTTATAAACCTTACAGTCGTCAGCTCTTAAAAATTGAAGGCGGCCTAAGCTCCAGTCAAGCCACATAATCCCACTTGTGTGACCTGCTGGATAGTCTCACTTTGAATGGTCCAGCTCTGAGCCAGGTGCAACGCTGACCTCCCTGGCCCTCACCACTGCAGAAGCCCCATCCTGGCTCTTTCCATCCTGGATCATGCCCCTTTCATTTACTCAGGATCATGGTGCCAGTGAATTCACTCTTCTCTCTGCTTTTTTTGGTTTTTCTTTCTTGAACCTCTCAAAATCTTTCATATAACCTTTAAAAAAAAAAATCTCAACCATGGTTCAATGCTGCATCACAGAAGCCGACCACAGACCTGATACATGAATGGCCTCTCCCCACACTTAGCCCACCTCCAAAACCTAGGTCTGCAGCTGCCCACACACTTGCCATTCGTTCTTACAGTATCGGGCTGAAAAGGCTGGACTCCTTGGCCAGGAACTGGGGGTGTGCAGGAGGGCATGCTCCCAGTCCGCTCCTCTTGCTGACCTGTTCTTTAGGCACTCAGATACGACTGCACCTCTCAGCATATAAGTTCTTTCACGCTCTACCAGAAGGTCCTGTTTTGGACTTTCTCGCCTGCAAAATTCATTCTCATTTTCAAACAGGTGAGAAAGCCCTTCTCGGGGTTCTTTCCTGACCCAACCAGATTAAGTTGTTTTCTCTCTGCTGTCACAGAACTTTGAATCTCTCCGTTCACTCATCCATTCAGCATGATTCTTTCATCAATCCGTTCACTCACTACGCTAGGTGCTCCTGGTAGACAAAAATCATGGTTTATTCTTTGGATCCCCAGCACTTGACAGATTAGATAATAAATATTTGCTGAATGATCAAAAAATTATGTTCTATCAACTTCAAATTTCAAATCTAAGAAAAGCAAGTAAAACAACATTATTTTAATAGAACGGATGGTAAATTGACAATATATCTATGAAGTAGGACTCCTCTATAGTCCCTGAGCCAGTCGGGGACTTCTGCCTGTGAACCTGGTCCAGCTGGTCTTGAGCACTAGGTCTGAGCACCAAGACTCACCACCTCTCAGCTAATGCACCACACCACCTGTCGGTCAGATGCTTTCAAGCCTTCCCCAAAGATTACTTTGCCAGATGAAAGTGAGTTCAAGTAAATAACAAAGCTCTGGCTTCCGTTCAAGAAAAATCTGAAGTCCCTTCTTAGTATTATTAACCCTGAAAAATATACTTCTACCTCCTGCCTTGCCCTAAAAGAACCCCCTTTTATCATTTTGTTTTCACTCTAAGGTAACATCAAAGAACAGGTTTTAATTAAGAAATACTTGTTTGACACTTGTTTAAAACACTCTACCACTAAATTATCACTACCTACAACAAGATTTCTGATTCTGCAGAAGTCTGGAAAGAATTTCCATGCTAGAGAAAAACATTTCAGAATATTAAAGACCATGGTTAAAAGCTAAATTTTCTGTAAGAGAAGAAAACAATCCAAACATATCAATACTAATCTGAGAAACAAAAAGTTCAAAGGCTCTCTTTTTATTGAGGTTAAACTTTCCCTGCCCACAAGGGTAGTTTACCCAGCATAAACTGGTAGAAGAAAGAGATCCTAGACAAGTAAATACTGGGAAACAGCAATGGTAGGCAATGAGGCAAAAGCCTACTAGTTAGAGCCAGTTAGTTTAAGGAGACTCAATGAACATTCAGAAAACAATTTCAACTAAAAGGTAAATTTTACATGGAAGTATCTTTCTGATCGTGATCAGAAATACTTGGAAATACTGGAAAATAAGGTTTGTCCTCTGCAGTCACCTTCCTGCTGACTCTAAAGGGGAGAAGAACTGGTGGTGAGACGGGCCCGGCGGTCTGTCTGTGGAGGGCTGCTTATCCCAGCCTTCCTTTAGAGTCTAATGAACAATGGAGAAAATTCTGCTGACTTGCTCTGGAATGTTTCAGATGGCTGTGTAAATCAGCGCATCTTGAAAAGAACATCAGCTTCCATCATGCCAACCTTTTATAGCGACATACTACTAGTAAACAGGTATTTCTCTGTCCTATGCAATGACAGGGTAGGGCAGAGGGGAGAGTACAAAGAATACACTTGCTGTTTTGAGAGCGAACCAATCTTTCTGGGGTCAGCAGGCTAGTAAGTACTTAATTATCACACAAAGTATTAAGTGCAAGTGATGACTGGATAAATGAAATTGGTATGTCTCTACAATGGCATAGAATTTCCACTGAAAAGGAAATACTGATGCAGAAATCACAACAAGGATGAACCTGAAAAGCATTAAGCTGAGGGAAAGAAGTCATGTAAAAGGCCACATGATGCATTACCTTATCCATGTGAAATGTCCAGAATGGGGCAAATCCATAGAAATAGCAAGGAGATTATTAAAAACCACTGAATTACGGACCTTAAATAAGTGAATTGTATATTATGAGTCATAACTCAAAAAAGCTATTATTAAAAAATCTTAAGCATGTGGGTAAAAAATAAAAAACTAGATACATAATACAATCTTTAGACATGTGATAGTCATGGTAATCACAGAGGTAATATTACCAAAATACAGAAAGTAGAGGGAGGGCAAACTTATTTGTAAAACTTACTAAAATTTCAACTTGTCACACATTACTCACCATCCATGAGAAGCCAATGGCCAGTGAGAACCCAGATGAGGACGAGCATGACAGACAGAGAGAATGATAGTAACTCAGCAGCAGTGAAACGCCCACAGCAGCCAAAGGAAATCCTGGAAAACACAACGTTATTGGATTGTAGACGATAAATTATCTCCAATAACCAAAATCTTCTTTAGGTCTTCATGATTACAGTTTATGATGGCCAGATTAGAACAGCAGGCAACAATACCTAGATACCCAGAAAGTCAAAATGCCCAAAACTTTTTGGAGTAAACCACAGAAAGCTCACAGGAATTACCCTTTTACACCCATTAGACAATGTACTTTAATGTACCAATATGGGTGTTTAGAAGTTTAAAGTGTCCTATCAATCTCTGGGGAACCTATATAGGTATAGGGGAAATGCTACTCTTAGGAGGAAAACAAAACGAACAATTCATTTAGCAAGGTGAATAAATACAAGATGGTAAATCTATCTATCTACCATTAATTCCTGGGAAAATTGGCCCCAAGTGACTGGTTTCCTAAGTGCATGCAGCATCTCCATTCGCAAATCATTTGCATTTTGTTTTCGAGGGGCAATGGCTTCAGGAGTTAAGCTGTGGAAACTGAAATTAAACCTAAATGAGTAGTATACATATTTGAGGGCAGAAAGATGAAAAGGCAAAGATGAATGTTTGAACCAACTGCTGTTGCAGAGTCGATGAGCTCTCTAGGTAGGGAATGCAAGCGCTGCATCAAGAGACGGCTCAACTTTCAACAGTCCAAGAAGGAAGCATGCTACAGTGACTCCCTTCACAAGGGTTGCTTGTATCTCCCCTGCTATGATAAATGCAAAAGGAAGTACTACCTTCCAGTTTTAAAGATGAAATATCTCCTTCTCTGTTTTCTGGCATTTGTGTGCTCCAGACACTAGCAGAAATTTATAACCTAATAATGCTATCAAGAATGAGAGAAAAACATACACAAGTTTGTAAGTTAGAGGTAAATCCAAGTCCTTACTTGTTCTGAGGTGAACAGGGCCTTGTTAAATACTGGCACATCGGGAGAAGAAGAAAAGCAAAAGCTATTGTTGCAAGAACTAGAGAAAGAAAATGCAAGATTAAATTATTTTGTTACCAATTATAAGAAAAATAGCATGACTTATGTAAACATAAGCATCTCAACATTTGGATATAATTAACTAGTGAAGAAAAATATTTTCCTTGAGCATTGCACAGATAATCTCTTTGAAAAGGAAATACCTGATTTGAAATAGGGGAAGCAGAGGTAGGTTTTCTCATTCTCTTATTCAATAAGATTATAGCAGACCACGGAGAGGATATCCCAATAAACCTAGCATTTTGTTGTTTCATACATTTCCATCCTCTCTTAGCTTGAAAACAGGGCAGGGAGCTGAGAGTTGAACTATCTTGGGTATTGATCACAATGTTCTATCTGCAGAAACACTGATGCACAGGGGTTGCGAATGACTACTCTGCCACACTGGACCTTCTGGGATCCTACCAGACCAGGCCACAGTGATCCCACTCCGGTGTCACAAAGCTCAAAGTTTTCAAACCTGTGGTCTATTATTCAGATAATGCTGGTGGGTCTGAGCTGATGACAAGTGAATGATACATATGTCTCAAGTGGGTTCAAGGAAGGGCAAGGGGAGAAAAAGCCAGACTAATGAAGCAAAAGTTGCTTGGCAGCCAGTATAGGTTAAATATAAAATGAGAAACTTATTTACCTGCTGTACATATTGTAAAAACTACTTGAACTGAGTCGAAGAAGAAGAACATTACTAGGAGAGAGACAGATGCTCCAATTGGGAGGAACAGGGCCTGGGTAGAGTCAATAGTTTGGATACCTGCAAGAGAAAAGGGGAATAATTAACAACTCTGGGAGCAGGCACAGTGCCCAAGCACTCCCTACACGCCACGTCCTCAAGGGCGGATTAGCGTGTGAGGCTGGTGCACAGAGCCCAGCACGGAAGGCGGGTTACTTGGCCCTTTGGTCGTTTCCTCCCCACCCTGCCCGCAGCGCTGCTATTACAGCAGGTTCTCACTGCACGCGGCCGCCTCCTCTCTAGCCATCTAGACGACAGACTGCCAAAGAGAACATTAGGAGGTAGTAAGAATTCAGGTTAATTCAGATTACTATTTGTGGTCATGTATACACAAGGTCTGGTGAAAGAGGTGGTTTACATCCACTGACCAATTTCTTAGCATCTACGGATTTAATGCACTCATGTTCACTGTTCCTCATTGCTGCTAATAGTTGAAGACTGACTATGGGTACGGGGAGTGCAGAGAATAAGACAACTGCAAACAGCAAATCACAAAATCTTCTATGGAAACATTTTAAGGTACCAAATTGGAGATAAAAGGGAGAAAACTGAATCTCTTGGGATAGAGTAGGACTTAGCACAGTGGTTTTCAATTCTTTGGGTGCTTAACACTCACCTGGAGAGTTTTAACAACATTATTGATAGGGGGAAAGGATGTCCTGAGCAAACTCCACACAGGCTTTGTGGACTCCACCCCCACGACACTGGGAACTACACATCCCATGATCCCCAAAGGGAAGGTCACCAGGACCTGAGGGCAGAGTTAAGCAACGAGGCTCTGGGTTTGAGTACTGAACTGGCCATGGGGCCGGGGTCGCCCTCTTGGCCACGAGGCGGGCCAGGTTTTTGCCAGCTCGGAGGGTCACTGGGATTCCAGGTCAGCGGAACGGGTAGGACGCATTTCCGAACTTATCTCTCCCTCTTTTTCTCCCCGAGTTATTCATTTCCCCATCTCCCCTTCCCTTGTAAATAAACCTTTTATCAACCTTTTGCGTGTGTCTGCAGTCTAGCGTTAGTAAGTCCCCTTGAAGCGCGCGGGTGAGGACCCACAGTCAGGCAACCCGTTCTCTATCGGGGGTGCCCTGTAACATTATGATGCCCAAGGCCAACTCCAAACCAATTAAACTGAAATCTCTAGGGTTTAACAGGCCCAGTTAAAAACTCCCCACAAAATTTTATTCTGCATTGAGAAAAATTAATAGAATTATTTGACAGAGAAAAACATGGCAAAATCTGATAACCACTGAATGAAAACAAAAAATAATTAAGTTTATCTTGTGTGCTATCCACTTCCAAATTAACCCTATTGAGATATCATAAAGAAAAGCACATGAGGAATCAAAGAAGAAATTTTCATATGACTTATTGTAAAGAAATATCAGAAGTGGAGGTCTCCATTAAAAGTAAGGCTACGTATGAGATTTTATGAGACCAGAATGAACTAAACACAACGGGCTGTAATCATCAACGAACATTTAAAAATTGCTCATTGGCATTTACTGATCTCCAAGAGAGCTATTTAGGGATTTTGGTGAAATAACATATATTTTTATAAAGGACATTAACTTCTTAGTGGCTAGGGAGATGACTCAAATAATTAGGGATAGGACAATTCAATTCAGGGAGAATGATCTGCATGTCAAGACAAACAGAAATTACATGGAGCAGAGGTCTGATCCAAACTGCAGTCAAACCACTCAGGTTGGCCCATGAATTATTTTAGGAGGGGGTATCTTAAAAGTGCCATGTGGGCATTTTCTAAGACAAAACCGTGAAATCTCTCTAAATTTCCCCTAAATGTCTTTATAACTGGGTGTGCTACAGTAGTTCATGGAACTAGAGGAGACTACAGAGCCAGGTGCCTGTCACAACAGAAAACAATGGTTTCTCAAATAAATGATTATTCTACAGTAAGAAACAAAAAAAATCCAAAATTCTTAAAATAACCAGCACACTCATCATCTGAAACAAGGCGTCATCTGGCCTGCAGATTAATTATATTGGTTTAAATTCTGAATAGAAAAATTAAGTGGCTGGCTAGAAGAAAGGGTGTTCAGTAAGTTGGTTATATGAGAAGTATTTGTTTATAATCTAAATTTTAGAAGCTCAATTTGCAATTAAAATGCAAAACTGAGTACAAAGAACTATTCTAGAATATTAGACGCAAAGATTTTTGTTTTTTAAAAGCACAGACTTTAAACCAGGAAGTATCAGTCACTGCTCCCATTAGCTGCGCCAGGGTCTGGCCAATAAAGTCTGCCAAAAGGCAATGGCACAGGGCAAGCAGAGCTCCTTTTCGTTGCCCAAAATATGCTACCTAAAAATAATGTGTACAACTTCAATACTGTACCTCATGATAAAGAGAGATCTAATTCAAAATTTTAGCCAAATTGCAGTAATTGAAAAACAAAGTAGAGCAAAAGCCAAACAGAGCAGTCATAACTGGAAGACTTACTCAAGCACAGCCACAATATCTTTAAAGCCAAAATCAGCATTAAGAAATAGGAATGGATGGGCTTCCCTGGTCATACAAGGGTTAAGTCTCAGCTCTATGAAGCTATCTGCAGCAAGAGTTCAAACCCCAGCCAGGAAGCTGACCCACACGGCACAGCAGACCTCTCCTGTCTCCCCGCTGCTCCCCTCAGCAGTGTATTTTAGTCAGTCTGCCTGTTCTGCTCCCTACTCTGTCTCTGGTGAATCCTCTCACTACCCACACCTCTGGCATGTACCCCATTTCTTGTATGCATAAATAAATCTTTTTAAAAAACAAACAAAGAAATAGGCATGGTGATGGTAAGTAAGTACAAAGTACAAAGACATTATTTTTTAGCATTCAGTGAGTGGGACTAAGGCTAAATATGTTGTATTGTTGGTAATTTATTTCCACAAGAGTAGAATACTTTTTCACTAAATATATACCAAATATCTATTATACAGCAGGCATACATGGGAGAATTAAAAAAAAGTCATTTCCAGACCTTAAGGAGTTTATAGTTTATAGTCTAAGATTATATATTAATATCAATGAAGGAAATTCCAACTACACATCTCTATCAATCTTCATTGCTCAAATTATATGGGAAGCTTAGTAAAGAACTTCAAGAGGTCAGACAGTGGGTGGTGGGCTGGTTTTAAAAACAACTCAATACTAACTAACTGAAGGACTGATGTGCTAGGGGGAAAATCTCTTCATAGACTTCCTGGGGCAGATGAAAGACGAGAAAGTAGTACACAGCTAGAAAAATCAGAGAGGACCTGGAAGGAACTATCTCCCCCACCCTTTTCTTTCTAATCCTTTCAATTGAAAAACATAATATACATACATAAAAGTACACGAGCTCAGTGAAAAAAAAAAACAGAGCTCAGTGAATCATTACATAGCTAATTCCACTCAGGAAGGAAACACAACTCTACCGACCCCAGGAGATTTTCCTGTGCACCCAACCCTCCCCAACCTGTGGTTAGGCTTTCCCCCAAGTGGAAGTGGAACCTAGCTTGCTTTTTACAACACTTTCTTCTGTGTTTTCTACCCAAGCATGCATCCTAAAACACTAATGTTTATTTAGCCTGTTTTTTGAACTTACATACAATTGAATTATGTGGCATGTATTTTTTGTGCCTGTTTTTTTTTTTCTCAACATTGAGAAACATTTACGCTGTCATACACAGCTAAGTTCACTCGTCTTCATGTCTTTTCCAAATTCCTCAATTCTTCTTTTCTTTAGGAGTAGGCAACTGTGACCTTTAAAAAACCTCTAGCAAGCCTCCCTGGTGGCACAAGGGGTTAAAACGCAACCTATGAAGCTATCACAGCCACTACAGCATGAGTTTGATCCCCAGCCGGCCAGGGAGCAATCCACAGGGCGCAGCAGGCATCTCCTGACTTGCCCACTGCTCCCCTCAGCAGTGTATTTCAGTCATTCTGCCTGTTCTGTGCTTCACTCTGTTTTTGATGAATCTTCTCACCCCCCACACCTCTGGCCTGTACCCTAGTTCTTGTACGCATAAATAAATAAATCTTAAAAAAAACCCAACAACACCTCTAGCTACTCACTCTCTCAACACCTCTAGCTAAACACTCCTGCCAAAAGCCTAACACACTAAATTCATACCGCCTCTCTTAGAGCTGTACCCCAAGATTTTCTATACAATTCCTCATTCAGGACTTCAGTGTCTTTAGCACCTACACAATCTCTTGTGTTTCTGTTTATCTTTCTGGCTGTTATTTCTTTGATAGAAGTACTATTCTGTTTTCCATGCTATTTCTTCATGGAAAAAGAAATGTCACATATGTCAAGTATGATGTCATACTCCACAATCGAACTGGCTGCCATTCATTATATATTTCCTGATGGTCTGCAGTTATTCCTTTTGGTGTCCATGGCTCATACTGGCCCTCTTCTAACCACTATTCTTTTTCCCCTGAAATGCAATTACATACTATAGTTGTGGAGGGTAATTTAACACAACACAAAAAGTAGATTTAAGAAAATGATCATTTATACAACCATCTGCTACTCTTTAGACACTGATTAATAATAAGAAATAAAAAGCTGAATTACCAGCTAATTCCTTCTATAGTACGGGCTGACTTAATCTTTAAGTTAAGAATAAAACTACTTTATCCTAGGTTTTTGTGATGCAATGTACAACAGAATTATAATGTGGTTTAATTACATCATTTACACATATGCTATGTAACACAGACTTTCTGAAAGTTTCCAAAATATGTGATTTGACTTAAAGTAGTGCTATAAGGTAAACTGCGATGTAAAAGTAATAGTTAATAGTAACAATAACTGCTATATAATAACCTGAAAATCAGATATTGACACTGGGTTCTACCTGGTTCCTGGTAAGGTACTGGTATGACATTTTACCTCCTACAAAGAGCTGTGTCTTAAGTTTAAGAAAGACTCATTATATTTAAAGGATTCTTTGTACTATATTTACCACACCCCACTTTGCACTGCTGAAGACAATAAAACACATTTAAGGGCCTCCCCGGTGGCGCAGCGGTTGAGCGCTGGGTTGCGAAGCTGCCCACAGCCTCTGCAGCGCCGGTTCAATCCCCGGCTGCTCCCCGGCCACCGGAGGAGGGTCCCACATGGCACGCAGACCTCTCCTGTTGCCCGCTGCTCCCCTCAGCAGTGTACTTCGGTCCTTCTGCCTGCTCTGCTCCCTGCTCTGGCTCTGGTGAATTGTCTCACCCTCTGCGCTTCTGACTGTACCCAGTGCTTGTATAAATAAATAAAAATAAATCTTTAAAAATATAAAATAAAATTCCTTCAAAAAAAAAAAACATTTAACTCAGTGAAAACTGGGCAAGTATAATTTAGTGAATTTGGTATTAAATAACTAGAAAAACTTAAATGTTAAGTGATTTCTATAATTTAACTCAATATTTTATCTAACTTTATATTAGAGTCTCAGTATTTCCCATTAGGTGGTGACTTTATAAATCATGCTCACTCTAGCCTCTCTGTACCTTCCCATCGGGAACGACTTCTCCACTAACTCAAGTTCACTGTATCAAGTCAAACTACCTTCTTCAGGAAAGAGACTCTTACCAACTTGACCCATCACTGTTCACTGTACTTGTCTTTCTCTTTATTTTCTTTGTACATGGATGTCAAAATGACCATCTCCAGACTTACTCTCATCTCTTGACTGTAGATGCTTATTCAAAAGGCTCAGTGGGAAAAAGTATTTGTTGTAGGTATGTGATGGGCGGTGCTATCTGCTATCTCTGTCTTAGTATTTTATTAACACCTTGGAAAGTATCTTGGACATAAGCCTACATGGTACCAGGTACCAGCTCCTGTACTACTGCATCTTTCAAAATATCTAATAGAATGTCATCTGCATGATAGGTACACAACTATCAATCTCTTTATCAAATCAAATCTTTTTTTTTTTAGATAGCAGTTGTTTTTTTTCCCCCCCAAAGATTTATTTATTTATTTATACAAGCACTGGGTACAGTCAGAAGCGCGGGAGGGTGAGAGAATTCACCAGAGCCAGAGCGGGGAGCAGAGCAGGCAGAAGGACCGAAGTACACTGCTGAGGGGAGCAGCGGGCGGCAGAGGAGGTCTGTGCGCCATGCAGGACCCTCCTCTGGTGGCTGGGGAGCGGCTGGGGATTGAACCGGCGCTGCGCAGGCTGCGGGCAGCTTCGCAACCCAGCACTCAACTGCTGAGCCACCGGGGAGGCCCAAATCAATTCTTATTTCTAATTTAATTCTCTTTCCTTAGTAAGCATCATTAATTTTCTAAATTCTATTGAGGTACAATTTATAAAGCATAAAATTTGTGCATTTTAAGGGTAAAATTTGGGGGTGGAAAAAGTTTATTGAGAATGGAATCACCACCATAATCTAGTTTTAGACAATTTTCATCACCTCAGTAAGATCCCTGATGCCAGTTTACAGCATATTCTTCTTTTTATCCTTGGCCTCAGGCAACCATGATCACATTCTGTCTCTATGTATTTGCCTTTTTGGAAATTTCATATAAACAGACTCATACAATATAGTCTTTCTTGTCTGGCTTCTTTTTTTTTTTTTTTTTAAAGACTTATTTATTTATTTATACAAGAACAGAGGCACAGTCCAGATGCGTGGGAGGGTGAGAGGATTCACTAGAGACAGAGCCGGGAACAGAACAGGCAGACTGACGAAATACACTGCTGAGGGGAGCAGCGGGTGAGACAGGAGAGGTCTGCCGCACCATGTGGGACCCTTGCTGGTGGGCCGGGATCGAACCAGCACTGCAGAGACTGCGGACAGCTTTACAGAGCTGCGCTCATCCGCCTGCGCCACCAGGGGAGGCCCTTGTCTGGCTTCTTTTAACAATGTTTTGAGGTTCATCCATATTGTAGCATGGATCAGTACTTCATTCTTTTTCTTTTTGGTACTGAAGGGTGTTCTACTATATGGGAGCTATTTTGTTTACTCACTTACTAGTTCATGGATCTTTGAAATGTTTTTACTTTTGGCTATTCTGAATAATGCTGCTGAACATTTGCCATATTGCAAATGTCATTCTTTAAAAAAGTATTCTTACAAAATAATCATATATCAGAAGACATACTCAAAACAGTTACATTCGACATTTACAAATTAATCAGGCTCACCAAAGTATTTAAATGAAGTCATAAGCAGGCAGATACTACTATCCTGCTTCTCTTTAAGAAAAAAAGAAACTCAGTAGCATGACTGCAGGAATGAATTAAAAGCAGTACACAAGAAACCAGTAGTTCAGATGTGAAACATAAGAATTTAACAAATTATATCATACAGATCAGATTTTATTACTATACCAAGTATAAATCCTTGAACCCAGGAAATCATTAACTGGGTATAGAAAGAGTCTAATTAAGACAACCACACAAATGAAGCCAATAGACATAAAATGTCTTACTATTATTGGTGCTGTTGCCATTGAAAGACCCAGAAGAACTGTTATTGTCTTTCTCCTTATCTTGATTTTCAAAGTCCATGTTAAGGGACCTGTGGAAGAAATCGTATAGTAAGTGTTACTTTGCTTAAGAAAGAAGTAGGTCAGAAAAGTCACGAATGAAACAATAGTTTTAAATACTAAGACATTAAGGAAAGAAAAGAAGATCTCTTGATCAATTTTTCAAAAATAGCTTAACAGTGGGTTAACAATGGGTTTATGTGTTTAAAAGAACTGTGATGATAGAAATGTTCTTGTTGCCACATTTTAAAATACAATCTATATTCTTTCCTGTATGTCAGTTCAAGAGCTTTCCAGAGATCTGTTGTTGATTTCTAATTTGATTCAACTGGAATTTGTAAGGGGTTGAATGTTTATGTCCTGGATGAAGTTCACTTGTTGAAGTCCTAGCCCCCAATGGGATGGTGTTTGGTGATGCCTATGGGAGGTAATCTTGATGCGGCCATCAAAATCCTTCATGATGGGATTAACAGCAAAGAAGAAACACCAGGAAGTTGCTTCTTGCCCTCTCAGACAGAGAACACACCGAGGAAAGTCCACGTGATGTGTGAGCACACAGTTGTCTGCAAGTCAGGAAGAGTATGCTCACCAGAACCCAACCATGCTGGTACCCCACCTTGGATTTCCAGCCTCCAGAACTATGAGAAAATACATCTCTGTTGTCTAAGCTACTCACTTTGTGGTAATTTGTTCTGGCAGCCTGAGCTGATTTAGCAATCACAGATCATAATTGATATGCGCTGAATCCTCTCACGGAGACTTGTTTTATGTCCCAAAATATGTCTTATTTTGTAAATGTTCCACATGCACTTTGAGAAGAATGTGTACTGTTGGATGGTTTGTCCTACAGATGTTGGTCAGTTCAGGTTGGTTGAGAATATCACCTGAGCCAGTATATCCTTGCTGGTTTTCTGACTCCAGTTGATCCTTGAACAACAGAGGTTTGAACCACATGGGTACACTTACACAAAGACTTTTCTAACAGATGAAGCAAACTTACAGTTTTGATAAAAACAGTATAGTATTCTTATAATAAAGTAAGCTAAAGAAAAGAAAAGGTTATTCAGAAGTCATAAAGAATACTTTATACCTTTTCTTTAGCTTACTTTATTACAAGAATATGGTATATAAGATATAATGTACAAAATATGTATTAATCAACTGCTTATGTGTTATGAGTGAGGCTTTCAGTCAACAACAGGCTATTAGTAGTTAAGTTTCTGCGGAGTCAAGAGTTGTATGTGGATATCTGTGCAGTGGGTCAGTGTTACTAACCCCTCAGTTGTTCAAAGGTCATTCTGGCTCCCCTGGCTTTATACCTATGGTGTGTTTCTTGTAAGCAGCCAGTAATTGGATTTTGCTTCTTAAATTCAATCTGACAATTGCTGCCCTTTAATTGAGTGTTAAAGTCAATTCATTTAATTTGCTTATTGCTATGATTAGATTTGAGACTATCATAATGCTATTTGTTTTCTCTGTCCTCTTTATCTGCCCAGTTTTGGATTAATACCGTATTTTTTTTATCAATCTATTTTTTATCTCCTTTGCTTATTAGCTGTAAGTCTGTTCTTTTATTTTAGTGGTTACTGTAAAATCTTATTATACTATCCATTATTACTATACTATCCATATATAGTGTGCAAACTTTGTAAAACTTTACATTGTTTCTCACTCCTTAGCCTCTACTATTACTGCCATGGATGTCACCTTTATATGTTATGCTATAAACTCCATAATATATTATTCTTTTTAATACAACTCAATTATCATTTAAAGTTTTATTTATTTTTTTAAAAGATTTATTTATACAAGAACTGGCGTACAGGCCAGATGCGTGGGAGGGTTCACCAGAGACAGAGCAGGGAACAGAACAGGCAGACTGACTGAAATACACTGCTGAGGGGAGCAGCGGGTGAGACAGGAGAGGTCTGCCGTGCCGTGTGGGACCCTCACCGGCCAGCCGGGATAGAACCAGCGCTGCAGAGGCTGCGGACAGCTTCACAGTGTGGCGCTTAAACGCTGGCGCCACCAGGTGAGGCCCTATTTAAAGTTTTAAATAAGGAAAAAAAAAAAAGGGACCATAAATATCTTTACTGATATAGTTTCTATTTCTGGTGCTCTTCATTCCTTTGTGAATTGTTTTCCAACTGGAAGCAAATTTAATCTGCTTGAAGCACCTTAATATTTCTTGTAGTGTAAGTTGGTAATGAATTCTTTCAGGTGTTGTGTGTCTGAAAATATCTTTACTTTGCCTTCATTTTGGGTATATAATTTCATGTTGACAATTTTTCTTTCTGTACTTTCAAACTGTTGCTCCATCTCACTTGTATTGTTTTCCATAAGAAACTGAAGTCATCTGTACCTTTGTTCCTTTGTATATAACATACCTATTCTCCCCCTCCCCACTTTTCACATTTTCTCTTTTACCACTGATTTTGGGCAATTTGTTTATGATGTGCTGTGCCTTCAGTGGTTATCTTCATGTTTTTTCTGCCTGGGGTTTATTTTCTTGGATCGGTTATAGTTTTCTTCAAGCACTGAAAAATTTGGCCACTATTTCTCCAAGTACTCCCTCTTTCAGGGATTTTAATGACACATAGATTAGGCCACTGAAGACTGCCTTTCAGATTCAGCTCAACAATACAGTTCCCCTTCTCTTTTGTCATTTTGGATAGTTTCTACTGTGCTGTACCTTCAAGTTCAACTAATCTTTTCTTCCAAAATGTCTATTTGCTATTAATCCCCTCCATCTTATTTCCAATTTCAGACACTGTCATTTTCATGTGCAGAAGTGCAATTTGGGTATTTTACCAACTTCCAGCACATTTTACACATGGAATATGGTAATATCTGCTTTCATGTACTTCTTGAAGATATTTTATCAGTTTGGGTTGGTTCTGATTGACTCTGATCATCATGGGTCATTTACTTCTTCTTTGCTTGTATGCCAAGTTTTGTGAATATGGCCCCTTGCCTTGATATTTTTGTATTGTTTGCTGCTTGATATTTTTGTATTTCTATAAATCCTCCTGAGCTTATCTGGGAAGCTGAAATAGCTTAATTTGTTCAGGTCTTGTGTTTATGATTTACTAGGCAGTTGTGAAGCAGTGCTTAGCCTGGGGGAAAGGCAAGACCTTCTTGAGTGTTTTACTATACACCATGTGAGGAAGTTTTTCCAATAGCTGGTGCAAAGAGCTACTCTTCTCGCTAATATTTTGACATTATTCTCAGCCTTAGGTAATTTCCTCACTTGCATGAAATGATCAAATACTTTGATAAATGAGCTCTGGGTCCATCTGTAGATCTTTGTGGCTTTCTCTTTGTAGCTTTCCTCCTTTGACACTCTTATCAGATTAACTCTAGTTGCTGCAGTCTCTGCACTCTCAGCTCCATCTTGCCAAATTTAGGGACTCTCTCCCTGATTACCATAACCTGGGAAGTGTCTAATTAAAATTTTTATCCCTTACAAATAAAAGTTGGATATATTCAAGGTATATGAGACATTTTGATATAGGTATACACTGTGAAATAACTATGCTCAGACAATAAGCTAGGAAAAAAAGTTTATGATTCCCTTTATCTTCGTTTATCAACTGTACCCTGTTGTCCTGAAAAACTGTTTCAGGTGGGATAGCAAATCCAGTTCCTGTTACTCCATCTTGGTTGGATCTAGAGCTAACTCTAGGTACTTCTAAATATTCAGGTCCTAAACTGGGCAGATTTTGAAGTAAGGATAGTGTTCCTTTTATTTCTTGTTAACACTGTTTAAAAACTCCTGAGGGTATTGGAACACTGTTGAGTTTTCTCTCTCTTTTCAGGAGGGCAGAGGCTACTATCTCAGAGGAAGTTAGAATTCCTCTTGGAAGGGTTATTTAAACCAGACTACTAGGCTCAGGTCCCACTGATACTGTTTTTTAGTTCCTTGGGTCCCACCACCCTTACAACTCAAAATCTCTTGCTGGATTCAAGAGATGTGCCCCACTACTGCATTAGCTTAACTCTGTCATTTGGTATCAATACTTTCATCCACTGTGTAAAACTCCCTTTTCTGTTACTTGTGCTCAAAGAAGCCTCGACTGACAGTGACTTCAATTAAAAGGGACTGACCTGGGTAGGAAAGCATGTGTATAGTTGGGGAGGTACATTTCACCCTGGTCCCCTATTAATTAGTTGTTTAGAAAACTATTCCATTAGAAGGGCAGTCCTAATGGGTGATATATTCCCCCAAAAGACGAAAGGATGGTATTTTGAAAGGTGGTGAGACTGCTGAAACATGGTTAAGACACTTTTTCTGAAATAGTCAAGAAATAAGATGTGTTAGCTTTCCGGGGAGTTTTTAATTTAAAAAGCCCTGAATTTTTAGAACATCATCTCATAGCTAATATGTGGGGCCGTACATTTCTCCAGCCATCAGAAGACATTTTAACAAAGATTGAAGTGTATACTAGCTGTTCCCACCTCAGTCAACCATAGAACAATTGTTACAGTGACTGGTTCCTGAGATAAACCTTTCCCAATCAATTTTAATTAGTTCCACAACAAACTAGATACAATGTTTTGCATACATAACTGGTTTCATTTCTATGGTCTTTCAAATTTTAATTCATGTTTCTCATGGAAGAGCTAATCATTTGTGGAGAGCTAAAGTCTAAGACTGGTGATATATTAATGGGGAACTGTCTGGAGTCACTGGGACATAAAGATTGTGTCTTCCCTGTGGACGTTTCAGGAAAGACATATTAAGTTGGGTTTTTCAGTGCTCGCTTCGGCAGCACATATACTAAGTTGGGTTTTTCAAAATCACTTATGTATTGAATAGTAACAACGATAGCTGTTATTTCTGCTCTGCTTCTCAGAATTTGGTGATAACATGGTAAATTTATAGGGACTGTTAGCTACATCTCTATTGTAGGGGCTGGATATTACAAATTGTTAGCTTCTCCTAATCCTTCTCTTCCCATAACTGATATTCTGGACTGGAAAGCTGCCAATCACCTCTTTGGTTTCGAGGCGCAGTAGTTACACAGCCTTT